TAAGGTCGCGTTTATACACGACGACCCTGGAGAAATGCGGAATCTGCAGAAAGAAGAATGTATGTATATCGTATCGATTCAAAGAAAGGACAAATCTGTATTTGGGAGAAATGCAGAATCTGTAGAAATGCCAATATCGACCACTAAGACGACATATGGATTGATCGTTTGCCCCTCCCTCTTTGGCGCTTCGAAAGAGGGGGGAACTCCCGGCAATTTCGACATTTATGCAGATCTGCATTTCTTCGAATTCCTTCGATTCGTCATTATCGAAATGTGAACTTTCTTACTTCTGAATACTTACTATTACTTCTACAGATTCTGAATTTCTCCCAGTTCGTCATTTGTTCGAAGTCGCCGTTTACGAATGCGGCCTATGAGTATGGCAGGAGGTAAGATGTACAGCATGGTTTTGGCATAGCGTAACCCGTATCAGGTGCAGTATCGCGACTACTGGTGACTACCAACTCTACGGCACTTTTGTATCAGATCACTCACCAGCTAGCAGATTACGTCTTGTGCCCTTCAATTTACTGTACTATATTGGACGTAAGCTGCCATGATTGATTTGACGTCATAGGCCATCTTGAGATGACCGGCGTGGAATGATCGATGGCACCTGATGCTGCGTACCGTATGTCCTGAACTATACCAAAAACAGGAGTGGACAAAAGGAACCCCGAGCACGGAAAGTCGCACGTTGAGGATCCCCAGCGAGAAGCGGGAGGGGGTCGTATTTGGTCGCGAGAAAGAGGGGGATGGCATTGCATTTGTGAAAAATAAATCAGGTTGTTGACATTTCTTCGTATTTCCAGTATCAAGTGCTCCACTCCCTTCCTTCCCCCGCTCAACTGGACAATTGTGGAGAGAGTACTCCGGAAAAACGGTAGGAAGTTGAGAGGATTTAGGAGAATTCCAGGACGATGGTGGAAGGAAATACCAGAAGAGGACATTCTGAGGGGGCAGCCGGCATTTAAAAATTTTCCACAATGGCAGGACGTGCTTTGACCACAAGCTATCATAAGCCATCAACTCCATGATGAGCAAATTCAAGGGGCGGGGGTGCTACACTCCTACGGCTGCTATTCTGCCCACCTCGCGCCAAAAAAGGATTCATCTCAGGTAATTGCAGAGTGTACCTTTTAAACCGTACATTGAAAACCACAAATTCTCACCGTTTTGTGCTGTAAATACGATACCCTCCGAAAGGCTGACGTTATTCACCAATGGCAACGGTTCCAGATCAGAAGGTGGGCATGCCCCTCCACCACATGTAAGTCTATCGAGTTGTCCTCCTTCCTTGGACACGTCTTCCAGTAGCTCGGCTAGATCTTCCTAAAATCCTAACGATACTTACTTCATCGCATGAAAAACTCAGAGTAACTTCACTGACGTCTGTTGGTGTAGGTACTTCTCGCTTCGCTGTGGGGTCGTCTTCAAAATCCAAACAGCTGATCGGAGCGAGATGCTGGTTGTGGCTGACCTTTCGATCCTGGACGTAGCACGTATGGCACCGCGTAGAAGTCTTCAAAATAAACCTTGGAGAGATCTTCGAAGCGAGATGACTCCTCAGCGGACAACGGCTGAAATATCGGTGATTAAGACTGGTAACCCACTCCCAGTGGAACATAGGACAAGTACGGCTAGAAGGTGACTATGGACGGTTGCTTAGTATCAAAACATTTCTGAGCTTCATTTTCCAAACAGGACAAAGGGTTTGGCGTGGCGCCAGCCCGTTTTTCTCGCGCCAAACCTAGCCTCACTCACACGCCCCACCATCCGCAGCGAACTTGCTGTATGTAGCCTAAATAAAACAAACAATGGATGGCTTCTCTTTTCCCCTACCCAAAAAAAGAAAATCTGGGAATCCTTGAAGGGGAACCTGTTTCTTGAATAGAGATCTTGCCCTTGATTACAGAGAACAACAGCTGAAACTTCAAACCCCTGCTAAGAAGTCCGTGAGAGGGAACTGTGGGACCAACGGAAAGTTTCCTACTATGATACAAAACTATCAAGTATCAAAGGAGATTTGGAAGTTCGTCGTACGACGTCACCATACGACATGTTTTGCAGGAATTCGGACTTTTCTACTACTGCTCTTTGACTTCCGTGCTACAGGGACATATGAACTTGGACGTTGACATCACACATCATGTATCAACCCTAAACCTTCCACAAATCCGCGCTCGGAGTCACCTGCTCTGCGAAAAACAGAGCAACAAAATATCACTGGACCTGGGTGGAAATTGTACAGCGAATACACCGGACTACGGGACTCTCTCTCGAAGTCCCCGGGAGGAAACTCGTTTACTAAGAACTAAGAGAGACAGAAAGAGAGAGAGAGAGGAGAGAGAGAGAGAGAGAGAGAGAGAGAGAGAGAGATTGTGCACTTGATTACAGGGAGCAACATCTGTATTGGTCTGAGCGAAAAGGCCCACTTTTGCTGACGTCAAAGGCAGGGACGTCTTACCGTTGGGGAAAAATTTAGTAAAATACGATCTCCCTTGAAACTTCCACCTCTGATCCACCTACGACCCGGAACTTTGGGCAGAACGGAGAACGGCCACCAACTCTTTAGCACAAGTGCTGCAGCATCTCAGTTCTTTTCCGCAGTTGAACACCTGGCTGACCCTTGGGGAGTGGAGGAGGGGGTAATTTCCCACACATAGCCACAACCTTGTTGTCTGCTTGCAGTATGAAGGCTATCCCTACGGTAGAAACTGGCGCTTCACAGTCTCCAAGTCACCTGTTGAGTCCTCCACTGCACTGCAGGACTTGAAATCGAAGCAAAAATAGCTCACCGCATGAACGCTCTTTTCAGTGAGCAGTTGCAGATCAAGCTCGTACTGATCAGCCGGCTGCAGCTGTCTCGCTCCTTTCTCAGCAGCAATATCGTTACGCCAAAGTACGTCGATTAGTTCGAGATCCTGAAATACGAATGCTGCAGATGCTGATCTGCAATATGCACTTTCAATCCGAACATTGCTCAACAAAACACTTGTAGAGGGCGCAGTTCGGCTTGGTGGGGGCACCGAATGGTTCTCAGCCAGGCTTGTATAAGCCACCTTGAGCAGACCTGTTATCTCCCGCGATCACAACGGTTCGCTTGGGAGTCTCACAGGTGTTTACAGGCGTCACTTTGGTGGAACCTGATATTCAACACGAACTAGCAAAAGGAACTAGCTGAAGAGAAAAATGCTTCCTCCAAGCCGAACAGCGCTATTGTAGAGCACTACAACGCGAGTCTCGTTAACTTTCAACTTTTGGACATCAAAAACTTACTCAGGCCGTACATCATAACCATAACCGTTTTCTACGTAGTAGCTTTTTAGGAAGTTCTTATCCCCCCCCCAATTTGATTCCAATTTCCGGACCTTCAAACATAAAAAGAGCAAAACGCAGTACAGGGAATAAAATGAAAGAATTTCAATGACTCTACAATCTCCCATAGGAGAAGCTAAACGAATGGGAGTGCAATTCTGAAGAACTGCTATATATATCGCAAATCGTTATCTCAACGTGTCCCCCAACCCACCATACTGAGGATATTTGATGAAAACGTCCCAGAAACTGGATTTTCGTGAAAAAAGGTGCAGCGAGACAGTTCGAGATCAGCTCAAGGATCACGGAAATCGCTTCTTGCGATTTCAATCTCAAACCCATTTCAGGCTAGGTGTGACCTCTTTTTCAGTATGAATCCAATGTTCACCTCTAGGGATGGGTCGTCTCGAGATGGAGCTGGTGGAGCAGTTGAGGTGGTTGGTCCAAGTTGTCCAGGGCCGCGCACCAGATGCGATCGTGGTCTCTCTGTCACTAACGGCATCAAAGTCACCTAAACAGACAAAATATGAGTTAAAATATCGATTCATCCAAGAACAAAAGCTGGTTTGTTTTGCTCTGGAGCAGCAGGATTGTCAAGCACGATTAGTTGCTGGGCATTCAGTTATTTGTGATTGAACAGCGCAAAAATATCATTTTTTAACGGGAGATATTACTGATTAAAGACATATACCACATAGAGAAAATGGGTGGAGACTTAAAACTACCGGGCCCTCCTCGTGAAGCGAGACTCACAAATGGTGCAGGAAGAGGAGTCTCCAAGGTTTGGTGGAGTGAGGAGAGGGAAAAAGATGCA